ATCTGTTCTCATTTTTGTCTATATTCCTTCCTTCTTTTGTGCTTGCTTTGGGTTTTTCTCTTCTTTTTTCTAGTTTATTACAGTGGAAGCTTAAAACATAAAAAAAAAAGATTTTAGTTTGTCTTTCCATCATTGATGTTTCTTTTTCTTTTTTTAAAACATATTTTTATTGATTTCAGAAAGGAAGGGAGGGGAGAGAGATAGAAACACCAATGATGAATGAGAAAAAAATCATTGATTGGCTGCCTCCTGCACACCCCCTACTGGGGATCAACCAAGTATGTGCCCTGACCAGGAATCGAATGAGATCTCCTGGTTCCTGATCAACACTCAACCACTGAGCAACACCAACTGGGCGAGGGTTGTTTTTTTAAAATATATTTTTATTGATTTTTAGATATTTTTATTGATTTTTTTAGAGAGAAAGGAAGGGAGGGGAGAGATAGAAACAGTGATGAGAGAGGAAAGATTGATCAGCTGTCTCCTGCATGCCCTGTACTTGGGATCAAGCCCACAACCCACGCATGTGCACTGACAGGGAATCAAACTGGGAATCAAACCCATGACCTCTTGGTGACTGAGGTGAAGCTTAATTCACTGAGACACACCAGCCAGACAGTTGGGTGACTTAAGCTATTTACCTTCTGGTTAGGGAGGAGTATAAATCTTTTACTCTTTAAAAAAAGAAAATTAAATCTTTATTGTTGAAAGTATTACATATCCCCCTTTCCCCCCAATTGACCCCTTCTAGCCTACTCGTCCCCTACCCCTTCACCACCCTATTGTATGTGCCCAAGGATTATGCATATGTGCCTACAAGTTCTTTTGTTGATCTCTTCCCAACCACCCACCCAGCCCCGCCTTCTCTCTAAGATTCCACATTTACTCTTAGGCAAGATAGGATTTTGCGATTTAATAGATGGCTATAAACTGCTTGGGTTTAACTATCTGTCTACCCGTCCCCTACCCCTTCACCACCCTATTGTATGTGCCCATGGGTTATGCATATGTGCCTACAAGTTCTTTTGTTGATCTCTTCCCAACCACCCACCCAGCCCCGCCTTCTCTCTAAGATTCCACATTTACTCTTAGGCAAGATAGGATTTTGCGATTTAATAGATGGCTATAAACTGCTTGGGTTTAACTATCTGTCTTAGTTTCCCTATTCCACTGCCCCTGGCTTACTAGCCTATCTCATTACCAGTCTCAGTGTGGTGTCTTCTTTAATTCTCTAGTTGTAGAACTTCCGTTCAGCCAGATTTCTGAATGATGGTTGTTTTATAGTTTAGTTCTAATTTTGATGTGGTTGTGGAAGGAGGTGATTGTCGTGTTTACCTATGCTACCATCTTGATCAGAAGCCTCTCTAGTTTTTTGAAGCCTCTTTAGTTTTTTAAAATCTAGAACAGTTCCTCCCCATTTCTACTTTTTGTTTTATGACATTGATTTTTGAAAAGATGAGGCCAGTTTAAGTATTTAGTCTTAATAAAAGTATTTCACAACCTGGATTTATTTAAAAAGTAAATTATAATTTCTTTAATAAATAATTTCACAACATTAAAAAAACAACAACAACTAGTACCTTGTCATGCTGGCCAGTGTAGCCCAGTTGCTTGAGCATTGTCCCATGCACCAAGAGGTTGCTGGTTTGATTCCTGATCAGGGTACATGCCTACGTTGTGAGTTCAATCCCCATTTGGGAGTGTGCAGGAAGCAGTTGATTGATATTTCTCTCTCTCATTGATGCTTCTCTCTCTCCCCCTCTCCCTTCCACTCTCTCTAAAATCAATAAAAACATAATAAACAAACAAACTAGTACCTCATCACAAAAACATAATTGGGAAACACTAATCTAAGGACTATTTAATAGCACTATTATAAAGACTATATGTTGCCCTGAACTGAGAGGGCTCCCCTGATGTAGGACTTTCAGTGATACAATCAGGATCAAGAATCAATGACAGGTCACCCTTGGAGACCTCTGATTAATGTCCAGGAAATAGTTATATAAATGATTGGTTAAAATCATAAACTGATTCTGCCAATTTTCATCATATCAAATAATTGTTTACATACATATACTTTTCAAACTAAACTATCTGAACTGTGCATTAATTATGCATCTAAATATAAGATGCATGCCTGGGAAAATATCATAATTAAAATTATATGTCTTAATCCTCAAACTTAAAAAAGTAATAATACAGACAGTCCTCAGCTTACATCAGACTCGACGTATGTCATTTCATGGTTACGTCGCCATCTCCCATTTATTTATATAAAAAAAAAGTTTCGTCATTTCGACGTATGTACATATGTGCTTTTTGTTTTTTATTATTTATTTACCACAAGTAAAGGTCAGGAATTGTTATCTTCCTTTTAAATTTTTCTTACTGTTTCACTTCATTACTGCTGTGTATGTGCTCCATGTGAGTGACGTAGGTGCTTATGCAGGTGGGTAGGTGGGTTCCCACTTACAGCGAAAATCGCATTATGTCTTGCTGTAGGAATGGATCTTCGACGTAACCCGAGGACCTACTGTATAGCAACATCTTACATCAGCCTTCTAATACTTACTGTTACATCATTGTTAAAAATCATACCCTAGCCTGGCCATTGTGGCTCAGTGGTTGAGCACTGACCAATGAACCAGGAGATCACAGTTCAATTCTGGGTTAGGGCAACATGCCTGGGTTGTGGGCTCAATCCCAGTAGGGGGCGTGCAGGAGTCAGCCAATCAATGATTCTCTCTCATCATTGATGTTTCTATCTCTCTCTTTCCCTTCCTCTCTCTGAAATCAATAAAAACATATATTTTAAAAATCATATCCTGGGGGTGGGGGGAAGACGGGAGCAGGCTGGAAAAGGTTAATGGGGGGAAAGGAGGGCCTATGTAATACTTTCAATAATAAAGATTTTTAAAAAATCATCATACCCCAAATTGACAAACACTGCAGTACATGAACTCCATAGAGATAACGCCAGGGCAAGTGAGGGCCTGAAAGGTGTGGACTAATACTACTGCAGATGACTGGGTGACTTTGTGCCTCATTGAGGGAAAAAAAAGAAAGAAAAGAGAAGAGAAGAGAAGAGAAGAGAAGAGAAGAGAAGAGAAGAGAAGAGAAGAGAAGAGAAGAAAAGAAAAGAAAAACTAAACATGGGCAAAGGAGATTCTAAGAAACCGAGAAGCAAAATGACATCATATACATTCTTTGTGCAAACTTACTGAGAGGAGCATAAGAAAAAGTACTTAGATGCTTTAGTCACCTTCTCAGAGCTTTCTGAAAAGTGCTGAGAGGTGAAAGACTATCTGCTAGAGAAAGGAAACTTTGAAGATATCTCAAAGGCAGAAAATACCCTTTATAAAAGAGAAATGAAAACCTATATTCCTTCTAAAGGGTAAACAAAAAAGTTCAAAGATCCCAATGCACCCAAGAGGCCTCCTTAAGTCTTTTTATTGTTCTATTGCCCCCAATTCAAAGAACACCTTGGTTTATACAGTGTCCCAAAAAATATATACACACTGTAACAGCTGATAGCTCAATTTTGAAAATGAAATATATTTTAATAAACACTGCCTTTCTAATTATTCAAAGTGTGTATACATTTTTGGGGACAACCTATATACTGGTGATGCTACAAAGAAACTGGGAGAGATGTGGACTAATACTGCAGATGACAAGCCATGTTCATAAGGCTGCTAAGCTGAAGGAAAAACATGAAAAATATATACTTGCATAAGGTTATGAGGCTAAAAAGGGAGTCATCAAGGCTGCAAAAAGCAAGAAAAAGGAGGAAAAGAAAGAAGATGAAAAGGATGAAGAGGAGACAGGCAGAAGATGATGATAAATAAGCTGGTTCTAATTTTTAGTCTATAAAGCATTTAACACAACTCACTCCCTTTAAAAGAAAAAAAAAAGAAATGTAAGGCTATGCAAGACTTGTTTCTAAACTGCACAGTAGTATCTTTTTTTGTATAGTTAACATACTACCAAATGTGTTAAATGCTAGCTAGCTCTGACCTGGTGGTATTTTCAATAGCCAATCACCTTGCCTAGTACGGGGGGTTGTAAATTGGCATAGAAGTTTAAAGCAGGTTATTGTTTGTACATAGGACAAATTAGTTATTTATAAGGATAGTAGTTTTTCACTCATTTGTCTCTGATGCATCTTATATGAATTCATTGCTGTTCTATTAACTAAATACCACTTTGTAACCCCCCAAAAAAGTTGCAGTTGTTTTGTTGACATTCTAAATGCCTCTAAATAAATACAATTTTCTTAATAATAATTAAAAAAATCAGCCTGCTTGGTGTGGCTCAGTGGTTGAGTATTGACCTATGAACTAGGCGATCACAGTTTCAATTCCTGGTCAGGCACAAGCCCGGGTTGCGGGCTCAGTCCCAAATAGGGAGCATACAGGAGGCAGCGAATCAATGATTCTCTCTCATCATAGATGTTTCTATCTTTCTCTCCCTCTCCCTTCCTCTCTGAAATCAATACAAATATATTTTTAAAAATCATACCCTAACCCTATATTTTACCTTAGATAATCTTATCTGCTACACAAAACACTACTATTCTTTTAAAAGGTATTTTTAACAAATAATTTAAAAAAACAATTTATTTCACATGTAGCTACTTAAACCCTTAAGAACTATGGTTGTTGTTGTTTGTAATGAATTAATTAATTTATTGTCTAAAGTTTTACATATGTCTTTTTCCACAATTGACACGCCCCCACCACCACCACCATTCCTACCCCAGGCAAGCCCCACCACCCCAGTGTCTGTGTCCATTGGTTATGCTAATATGCATGCATACAAGTCCTTTGGTTGCTCTCTAACCACCACCCCCTCCCCCCCGCCATTTGTCTCTGGATCTATTCTTGTTCATCAAATTATGTTGATCATTATATCCCACATATGAGTGAGATCATATTTGTTTTTTAAGTAGAAGCCTAGAAGCATGCCTTTAAAATGAGATCGTTCATGATTTGTTCTTTGGAGGACTTTATTTTAATAAGGTTCTTCTACAATTGGATGGTGACAAAGTTTAGGTTTGTTGGGATTATTTTTCAACAGCCAATCAGCTAGCCAAATCTATGGAAAAAAGAAAAGATACCTTAACTTAGTAAATATTTACATATTTTCTTCAATATAGTATATCAATTTAAACCTAAAACAGTTTTCAAAATCACTCTAAGAATAATGAAAAAATGACCATTAAAAACTAAACACTAAATTTTACAGTATGTAAGATTGTCAAGTACAGATCCAAATTGGAAAAGAAGAAGTAAAACTATTTCCACTTACAAATGATATGATCCTATATATAGAAAATCCCAAAGAATCCACAAGAAAGCTGCCAGAGCTAATAAATGAATTTGGCAAAATTATAGGTTATAAGATCAACACAAAAAAAATCAGTTGTTTCTATACATTGCTAACGAACAATCCAAAAAGGAGATTAAGAAATCACTTTCATTTATAATAGCACTGAAAAACAAGTATCTAGGAATAAATTTAACCAACTTGTATAACTGAAAACTATTAAACATAGCTGGTATCCTATGTTAGAAGTTGGCTTTTTGCAGATCTTGGTGTTAAAAGACAAAAAACAAAAAAACAAAAAAAACAACCACCACCACATAGTTGAAAGAAATTTAAAGACCTAAATAAATAAAGCCATCTGTGCTAATGGATAGAGAGACTTAATACTGTTAAGAAGTTAAATATCGCCAAAGCCGTTTTGGCTCAGTGGATAGAGCGTCGGCCTCGTCGATGTTTCTAACTCTCTATCTCTCTCCCTTCCTCTCTGTAAAAAATCAATAAAATATATTTAAAAAAAAAAAGAACTCAGCTTTAAAAAAAAAAAAGAAGTTAAATATCAATACTACCCAAACTGATACGCATATTCAACACAATCAATATCAAATTTCCAACAATCATTTTTGCAGAAACGGAAAAGTCAATGCTCAGATTTATATAGAATTTCAAGAGGGCTCTGAATAGCTAAAACAATCATGAAAAAGAACAAAATTGGAGGATTTTCTGACTTTGTTCTTTCTTATTTCAAAATCTTCTTCAAAACTATAGCAATCCAAGCAGTGTGGTTCTGGCATATAGATAGACATATATAGACCAATGGAATAGCACTGAGAGTCCAGAAATAAATCCTAACACATATATAAAAATTAATTTAAAATGGATCAACAGCTGAAATATAAGAGCTAAAACCACTAAAATCTTTTTTTAAATATATTTTTTAATTGATTCCAGAGAGGAAGAGAGAGGGAGAGGTAGAAACATCAATGATGAGAGAGAATCACTAATAGGCTGCCTCCTGCAGGACTCACACTGGGGATCCAGCACACAACCTGGGCATGTGCCCTGACAGGGAATCGAACCCTGAGCTCCAGATTCATAGGTCAGTGTTCAACCACTGAGCCACGCCAGTCAGGCAACCATTAAGATCTTAAAAGAAAACATAGAAATAAATCTTCATCACCTTGGATTTAGCAATGGGATTCTTAGATATGATACCAAAAGCATGAGCAACAAAATAAAAAAGATAAATTGATTTTCATCTAAATTTTAAAACTTTTTGGCATCAAAAAACATTATCAAGAAAGTGAAAAGACAACCAACCTACAGAAAGGGAGAAAATTTAACAAATAGTATATCTGACAAGGGTTTGATACCTATAACGTATAAAAAAACTACAACTCAACAACAAAAAATTAAAACTGGGCAAAAATCTTTAACTGGAACAGACATTTCTACAAAGCAAAGATACAAATGGCCAATAAGCACATGAAAAGATGCTCAACACAATTTACATTAGAGAAATGCAAATCAAAACCACACTGATAAACTATTTCACATCTACTAGGATGATTATAATGAAACAAAAACAGAAAAGAATATGTGTGGGCCAGGATGTAGAGAAACTGGAACTCTCATACATTGCTAGTGGGAATGTAAAAAGTGGTCACTGTGGAAAATAAGTTGGTGGTTCCTCAGAAAGCCAAACACAGTATATGACTCAGCAATTCCACTCATAGGTATATGCCCCAAAGAATTAAAAACAAGTACTTAAATAGATGATTGTGCACCAATGTTCATACAACATTAAGCACAATAGCTAAAAGGTAGAAACAACCCAAGTACCCATCAACAGATGAATGAATAAACAAAATATTATAAGAGCCGGATGGGAGCCCCACCGGACACGGGATGACAATGGAGGCTTGACTTGTCAGAGAGAGAAGTGGAAAACACTGCGAATGTTCAGTCTCCTCTGCTCACAGGGAGGAGGTGAGCCTCTCTGACTCATAAACTCTTAAGTAACCTGATTCCTAAAATTCAATTTCCTTTTTATTACACATACACGATTCATCGCTGCTTTGGGAAGCTCAGAGGATCTTTCCCCGCCTCTTTCTACCAGCAGAAGAAAAACAAAGATTTTAAGATGGAAAACACATCTCCTTAATCGATAAAACATGGGAACAACCTGTCTACGGACAGATGAATGGAGAAAGTGACTGTGATATATATATATGGAATATTATTCAGCCATAAAGGAATGAAATTCTGATACATACTACAACATGAATGAACTTTGAAAACATTATGCTAAGTGAAATAAGCCAGAAACAAAAGAACAAATATTCTATAATTCCATGTACATGAAATATAGAGAGGTTACTTTACTAGGGCCTGGAGCAGTGGTTCTCAACCTTCCTAATGCCACAACCCTTTAATACAGTTCCTCATGTTGAGGTGACCCCCAATTTCATTGTTACAAATTGAACATAAAGCATAGTGATTAACCACAAAAACAATATGTAATTACATATGTGTTTTCTGATGGTGTTAGTCAATCCCTGTGAAAACGTCGTTTGACTCCCAAAGGGGTCGCGACCCACAGGTTGAGAACCGCTGGGCTAGACACACCCTGGAGCCAACCTCCCACGGTCCCTCCTTGGCCGGCTGCACCTGGGACAGAGCTGTGGCTCAAAGGGCATCTGTAGAGTGAGCGGGGTCCCTCTGGCAGGTTGGGTCCATTGGGCTGGCCTGTGGGGCCTGCAGGGATTGGGCTGAAACCGGCTCTCCGACATCCCCCAAGGGGTCCCGGAGTGCAAGAGTTGCTGTCACTGGGCAGTTCTTGTGTTGAGCATCTGCCCCCTGGTGGTCAGTGCACGTCATACCTACCGGCCAGTTGGCCGGTCGCTTAGCCTTTTATATATATAGATTCTTTCATGATATATTTTCCCATATGATCAACTGCAAACCTACTTTTACCTGTATATGCATATATTTTCTCATAAAGATTATACTAGAGGCTGGTAACAGCAATTTACTTCAAGGACCACAATTGGGTGGTTGAGGAACAGGAACGGCAAGGAGTGTTACTTTTCATTATATATCCTTTTGTGACCTTTGAATTATACTATATTCAAATATTACTTATTCAAAAATTAATAATTAAAATATAAAGCAAGTTCTTTAAGGGTCAATTTTAAATTATTTTTTATGTTTTGAATTATAATTCTACTTTCTGATTTCTTTCCGAATGAAATAATCTCGATATGTGAAAAGCTTTATGCTCAGCTGTTTATTGTTATAGTATTTAAGTAGCAAACAACTCAAACAGTAAAAGAAGAATAATAAAGGCAATAAAAAAATCATGTAACTATTAAAATAATATCTATAAATATATATTTAAATATAGTAACATTTATGTCATGGCACATGCCTGGGTTGTGGGCTCAATCTCCAGTGTGGGACATGCAGGCAGCAGCCGATCAATGATTCTCTCTCATCATTAATGTTTCTTTCTCTCTCTCCCTCTCCCTTCCTCTCTCTGAAATTTAAAAAAAAAAAAAAGTTACACATACAGAAGTATCTAAACTGTATATAAACGTTTTTAAAAATGACTCTCATGCCCTACATGGTTTTGCTCAGTGGCTAGAGAGTCAGCCCATGAACTGAAGGATCACAGGTTCAATTCCGGTCAAGGGCACAAGGGCATGTACCTTGATTGCAGGCTCCATCTCCGGCCTGAGGTCGGAGTGTGTGCGGGAGGCAACCAATCAATGTGTCTCTCTCACATCAATGTTTCCTCTCTGTGTGTCTCTCCCCCTCCTTTCCACACTCTCTAAAAATCAATGGAAAAAAGGTGAGGATTAACAACAACAACAAAAACAATGATTCTCAGTACTTACACTGTTGCAAAGAATACAATGTTTGAGATATGAAACCTATATTCAATATTCTTTAGTGTGAATAAAAAGATTGCTTACACAAGGATCTGCTGGTTTTTGCTTACAAAGCTCTGTGAGTCCTTTAAGCAGAGTTGGTGTTACATATAAATTTAAATAGTCCTTAGCAGCTTGTCCCACTGGAATAGGCTCAACAATCACTGCAAATACAAATGTATCCCCATTAAAGCTAACATAAATGATGAAATATTCTACAGTCATTTAAAAGTTACCTTCAAATAAATTTTAATGTCATGAGAAAATTTATAAAGGTTTTTAAGGGAATAGAACTGATGCATAGCATAACAGTTGATTCAAAAACACACAAGCACACACATTAAAAAAATAAGACTACATAAGACTGGCAAGAAACATATCACAATGCTAATAGTAATCATGTGTAAGATTCTGATTATTTTTTCAACTATATCCTTTTCTGCATTTTCATTTCCATGTTTTTTACAGTAAATGCTGTAACACACAATGTTATGAAAAAGAAAAATATGAAGAACATGTAAAATCAGGGAGATTAATTCATTCCAAAAATTCCTGCCAACAAAATGACAGGTGCTTCGCAAAGTGGTAGGTATAACAGTGAATAGTATGTAGTTCTTGCTCTCTTATAGACTACTGAATATACACATAAAACTTATATCTGTCTATATAATATGTATTAATATTCCTGCTCTTATTTTTCAGGTTTTTAAATGAATTATTTAAAAACTAGGGGAAATTTTAGTCTTTTCAGCCTTATTTGAACACTATGGAGGTGAACCAGATTTGCAATACAAGAAAGAATATATTTATACAAGAAAGAATGTATTTTATAAGGCTGAGCAGGTCTTTTGAGATTGACCTCCATCAATATGCTACTTTTAAAAAATTTATTAATTTTAGAGAGGAAGTGGGTGAGAGAGAGAGAGAGAGAGAGAGAGAGAGAGGGAAACATCAATTTGTTGCTCCACTCACCCATGCACTTATTGGTTGATTCTTATATGTGCCCTGACCAGGGAGCAAACCCACAACTTTGGCATATTGGGAAGACGCTCTAACCAACTGAGATACCCATCCAGTGCCCCAGGCCCTATTTTAAAAATGAAAATCGGATTATACCACTCCCATCCTTAAAATGCTTCATTGGCTCTTGCTTGCATATATAATATAGTCAAGACAGGACTCCATATTATGGCCCGTAAGACTCTGTACCATGTCACCTATACTACCTCTTTAACCTCATCTTATTTTTCTTACCAAGATCTTTTTTGTTTATAGAATGTGCTGTGTTATTTCCTGCTCATGATTTGAGCACATGCTATTCCTTCTGCTAGAACATTCTTCCCTTTACTCTGGTTAACCACTGCTTACTCTTTGGATCTCAGCTAAAAAGTCACTTCCTCAGTCAGACCTTCCTTACAGTCTACAATTGTTTTGTATAGCACTTATCACACAATAACTATGCAATTATTTGGGTAATTCTTATTTAATGGCTATCTTTCAAACACTAGACTATAAACTCCATGGGAGCACAGACCTCATCCATTTTTTATAATTTTTTAAAGTTTTATTGAGGTATAATTTACATATCATAAAACTCATCCATCCATCTACACTAATAAAAGAGAAACATGGTAATTGGCGTACGACCGCTACCCTTCCCATTGGCTAATCAGCATATCCTTATGCAAATTAACTGTCAGCCAAGATGGCGGCCGGCAGCCAGGCAGCTGGAAGCGAACATGAGGCTCGCTTGCTCCAGTGACTGCAGACTCCAACGTTCCCCACCTGACTTGCCGGCCTCTGAGCTGCAACTCTAAGAAACTTTGTAACAAATATAGAAGCTAAACAAAACCCCGTACATATCATAAAACTCATCCATCCATTGAAGTATACAAGTGATATTTAATAAATGTTTAGTTGTGCTATCATCACCATCATCCAGTTTTAGAACACTTTGATCACTCCAAAAATATTTCCTTGTGTCCATTTGCAATTTCCCACTCCCACTCCTACCCCCAGAAACCACTGCGTTTCTTTCTGTTTCTAAAAATTTGCCTTTTCTGGACATTTCATATAAGTGGATTATATACGTAATATGTGGTCTTTTGTGCCTGGATTCTTTCACTTGGCATGTTTTGAGGTTCATCCATGTTGTGGCATGTATCATGTTCCTTTTAATTGAGTTGTATTCTATTGTATGGCTAACAGTTGGATTGTTTCCAATTTGGGGGTACATTAAATAATGCTGCTATAAAGATTCACGTGTCTTTATGTAGATGGATGTTTTCAAAATGGGTGGTAGATTCCGCCAGGAGTTGAATTGCTAACAGACTTACCTGGTTTCTTAATATTTTAAGAAACTGCCAAACTGTGTTTTTTTTTTAAAGTGCTATAAGCCCTGGCTGGGTAGCTCAGTTGGTTAGAGCATAGTTCTGATATACCAAGGTTTCAGGCTCAATCCCGGTCAGAGAACATACAAGAATCATCCAATGAATGCATTAATAAGTGGAACAACAAATCAATGTTGTTGTTCTCTCTCTCTCCCTCTCTCTCTCCAAATAAATAAAAATACAAAAGTGGCTGTAACATTTTACAATAATGTATGAGGATCCTAGTATTGCTATATCCTTACCATTGATTACAGCCATTCTAGTGAAAATGCCATGGTATCTCATTGTGGTTTTATTTTGCACTTCTCCAATTATTATGTTGAGCACTTTTTCATGTGCATATTAGCCATTCATATATTGTCTTTTGTGAAATGCTTATTCAAGTATTTTGCCCGTTTTTTAATTGGGTTGTTTATTATTGAGTTGTAAGAGTTCTTTATACAGAGTGGAGCAAAAGTAGGTTTACGGCACTAGCTGGTTTGACTCAGTGGATAGAGCGTTGGCCTTCAGACTGAAGGGTCCTGGGTTCGATTCCTGCCAAGGGCACATCCCAGGGTTGCAGGTTTGATCCCCAGTGGGGGGTGTGCAGGAGGCAGCTGATCAATGATTCTCTCTCATCATTGATGTTTCCCTCTCTCTCTCCCTTCCTCTCTAAAATCAATAAAAATATATTAATTTTTTAAAAAGTAGGTTTATGGCTGGGAGTACATGAAACACAGTTTATTCTTGTATTATTATTTATTAATTACTGTATTATTTTACACATGAACAACTATAAACCTACTTTTGCCCCACCCTTTAATTCTACTTCTTTAACTATGATTTGCAAATATTTTCTCCCAGCCTGTGGCTTATCTTTTCATATTCTTAATGATAGCTTTTGAAGCACAAAACTTCTAATTTTTATGTAGTCCCATTTATCAATATTTTTTATTATGGACCATGCTTTATTTTTTTTAAGGAGTCAACATCCACCCAGGCCATTTTTTTAAAAAAATGTATTTTATTGATTTTTTACAGAGAGGAAGGGAGAGGGATAGAGAGTTAGAAACATTGATGAGAGAGAAACATCGGTCAGCTGCCTCCTGCACACTCCCCACTGGGGATGTGCCTGCAACCAAGG